CCATTGTACGATTAGCACGTATATGCCCGTATTTAACACTTTATGACTTCTTTACATTAAGTTTTTAGTACAGTCTAGTGGTAAATTACATATGGCTCAGCCCATATAATCTAACTATTCTAAAATAGTTTACGTAACCAATTAAATATTACGAACTAGTATATGAACATCTACTCAATATATGGCACACTGCACAGAGATTTAATTCATAAATCTACGAAACATTACCCATCATGCATTAGAGTACATTCATGAAATTCCTACGCATTACCACTTATCGAATATTCAATTACATGTAAATTTGTCAATTCCCTGAATGAACTAATAAAATGAAATCAAAGAATAAAATGTCGTGACTAACATTTCACTAAAACCCTTAAAAAGGAAATCATACATACATACATCATATCATCAATACATTTGAAAAAAAAATCAGCAAATGAAATAGTATATCAAAATCTGGAAACTAAGACTGCGTACCTTTGCTGTTTTTGTTCGTTTTACCCACGAACTTCTAATGTATATTATGTTTACTTTCTGAGACAACTAACTCGCCTTACTTCAGTAACGAGGGAACGTATTACTTGCGTTCATCTCCCGGAGTCCTGTCTGACTTCTTTCAAGTAAGATTAATGACAGAAGCAATTTTGCAAAGTAAAACCACTACTTTCTTAAGAGGTTTACACCCTTAAGTTTCTATTAGCCAATCAGAATCGACTGATTCCTAAAATCTCCTACATAGAATATATAATTAACGAGAATAAGATAATCATGCCGCCTTTAAATTTCGTTTGAACAATCAATTATAGATGTGCTTCCCCTTTTAACCAGTGCGAGTTCGAAGAGTGTTATGCCAAGACATTTGTACCATAACAGATGACTCGGTCAAATTTCATGATGTGAAACCAAGTTTCATTTGACGTTCGGAGATGAAATGAGAATAATCATATAACTGTCTCTAGCCCATTCTACTTTAATTAAGTATATTTGGGTACAATTCTTTTAATTAATACTTCTTAGAGTTTCAAAATTCGACACATCACACATACGTACATACATACATACATACATACATACATACATACATACATACATACATACATACATACATACATACATACATACATACATACATACATACATACATACATACATACATACATACATACATACATACATACATACATACATACATACATACATACATACATACATACATACATACATATGGGTTCTTGCTCAGTTTGGAGAATGTTCGAGAGATAAAGTAATATACAAACAAATTAAAATATTTTATAACAAATATCTTCTCACCCTTATGAATATAAAAAAAACTAAAACGTAACACAGGGATTCCATACATGAAACTGCTGCTTGTAATATTATTCGTTAGTCGCTGAAAACGCTACCAATATGGAACTTTTTCTGATTCTTTGTTCAGTTGTAGTTCAAAAGTAATACTTCTTTTCACACATGTTTCAGCTGCGTTATATTTCTTTTTTAGTTTGTTAAGTATAAGAAAAGAGAGTATCTAGTTAAAAAGAAAGAAATACACGGATATCTGAAGTGAAGATAATACATATTCTGCTCAGCTGACCTGTCACATTTGCTAAGAACCCAGCGATAAGGTCATGTATTAGCTACCATCCACCTGTCTGGAGAATATTACCGCGGCCTTGTGTTTGATCTCTATAGATTGCCGCGGGGTTAATGTTAAACTCTTTACGCAAGATTACAAAAACCAGCCAGAAACCTGACAATTGAGACGACCATCGGAGTTTTCTTATAACAACGCGGAAGTTTAAGCTTCAATATAGGCTTTTTAAAAAAATCAAAGAACAAGTAGCAGTTGCAACACAAGAAAAAATGATAAAAGTGATATCACCATTCTGGCAATATCGTATTTCACCACCAGATATACTTTAACATGACACACACACACACACACACATATATATATATATATATATATATATATATATATATATATATATATATATATATATATATATATATATATATATATATATATATATATATATATATATATATATATATATATATATATATATATATATATATATATAATGCTAATTAACGTCTGATCGTAATACTAGTTAAAGCTGTTACTTCATAAGTTTATTACTAATTGTAATCACGACCTTGTCTAAAATGGGTAGTTTTGTCTAACAGTATTACAGATATACCATACAGTTATATATAATGAATATCTTGCGGCTAGTTACGGACCTTTCCAGTACTTACCAAGGATTGTTCCAAATGCACGCAAAGAACTGACAAGAGAATAAATCTAGTTTTTAGGTAGCTTCTAGCTTAAGTATATTCGACTGACTGAGTCTGAAATTTTTAAACAATACCTTTTGGTTTAAGTGAAGTGCTTGAAACTAAGAAAAATAGATTATTCTTGAGGCGATATATTTAATAATTTTACTTTTTAAGCATTTACCTTAATGTGTTTAGCCTCATTTAACAAATGCTTGACATTATCACACCTGTTAAAGGTTTATTTAAAAATCAAAAGTAAAGTCCACGGGATGAACGGGGGGTGGGGTGTTCTTATTCGTCCCCATGTTGACTGACAGCTAGAGAGACTAATTCCGCTATGTTTGATTGGATAGGTCCACGGTGATATCTAATCATTATTGATATAGAGAGTGTGATTATAATTCAGTCCCGAATGATGAATCATAAGGGTAAATTAGTATTCAACTGGAAGGAGATCAGATCAATAAGGTTTACTCCGAGAAAGAAGCCACTCGTAATCTGACGGCAGAAGGTATTGGTAGATTTTAATCTAAGACAAAGCTTTGAAAGGGTCAGTAAGTTATTTGCTGGATTGTTTTGTAAATTATTACAGCATCAAAATTGTAATTATTTGTAGTATGTAATAACCTTTGTATTGTTTCACTTACATGAATATTTGAGAAATGGGCTTGAGTCTTACATATAAAAAATACTATATTGCGAGGCGGAATTATGTAGATTGCTAGATTCGGGTCAGAATTAATTTTGTAATTTGCTATTAGGTTACTTTGTAGCAAACCATTGAATTTATTAATGCGTTATGTTAGAATTTACACATGCTATAAATGTGAATTTGGAACCATGGTTGAATTTTTCAAGATTTGTTACTATGGACGTATGAATTTATCAGAGCATGGATATTTGAATATTTGCGTACTTTATATGAGTTGTAAGTTAAAGAAATGCGTCTCATTATCATAATATTGTTAGTATTATTAGAAATATGTACTGATGCGACGGAATTTATTGATTTATGAATAAGAAGTAAGTGATACCGTTCTGTATTATGACATTTGTTTTACCCTACAAGGATGATTGGGTATATCGATGTGAACGAATGAATGTCCGAATAAATTTAATAGCCGTTATTTGTTGATAGGCAGGTGTGTAGTGTGAAATGAGAGAGTTAAGGAAAACGATGGTACTGTACTTGTATTTTCGCAGGAAACATTTTAGGGGAATGAGAACTGCCAGTTCCATTGAGTCCTAAATCTTTAAGAGATGGAATTGAGATGTACCCGAGATAGTCGAAGTCGACAGAAATGTAGTTGTGGGGGAGAAGTGGGGGAGGAGGAGATGGAGTCCAGAGAAAGTCGAGGAAGACGAGGAGGAATTTGAAAATGGTCGGGGAGGAAGAGGAGATGGTATTGGGAGAAATAGGAGAGGTAAATGATACAGTAGATGAGTAGAAATACAAGGAAAGGTGGAAATCAATCTCACTCTGCTAATCAAGTGATCAAATAGGCTTATTAAACGGTCGAGCGAAAGGAGTGTAATTGGAAATGTGAGTCATTTGATTGAATTATTATTAAATTGTTATTTATTGACCTTCAACCTTTTTTTTGTATATTTAATCATCTAACCGTCGGCATTGTTGACTGGGGGCTCGGACCTTTAAATCTATCTTTCACTATATTTAACTTCCAACAAATTAGGGTCGGACTTTTATAATAGTTTAAATAAAATATTGGAATCACGCCACTACAACCATAAAGTTCGTCACATGGCCTTTCATCAAATTTAGATACCAGTCCCGTATATACCTGAATCTGATAATTCACAACAGTTGGTGACTAATACTATCAGAAAAAGTATTTAAATGAAATATAGAGGAAAGAAAAGTAAAGACAAAGGAATTCAAAAGAGAAAAATAAATTGTATTAAGTATTTATAAGCGAACTCTAATCTATAGTGACTATATTCTTTTAGGTAAGGGGTCATCATACTGTCCGAGAACAAAAGTACACGACAATATTATCAGAAGCATTTATTAAATACACAATATCATTAAAATTTAAATAATGTTTCTCACAATTATGCACATATTCACAAAATAGTAGTTTTCATCTACATAATAAAAAAGAATCACCATTCACACCTTCTGGTGGACTTTATCTTTATCTCGAAATTTATATTGAAGCAACTAAGTAAGAAATTTTAAATAACAATCCTAAAAGAAAATATGTTACAAATATATCTAAAGAAGAACTAAATTCATTGCGTATTTTAGCACAAGACGAAAGTATCATTATTAAAAAAGCTGATAAGTCTAGCACCATAGTAATAATGAATAAAGAGGATTATATTAAAGAAGTAGAAAGACAAATAAATGATAAAATATGATATGCAAAACTTTTCTATGATCCTTCTTAAGAAAAAATATATAGCAAATATAAGCGAATGTATTGATGAAATCTTTATACAGAATTGTTCCATATATGATGAACTATATATTTTACCAAATCAAATATGCACACAACTCAGTTTTATGTTTGCCAAAAATACAAAAATGGCTGATAATTCACTACCTATAGAACATAAAGGTAGGTCCATTATTTCTATATGTAGCTCAATTATAAATAATATATCGCAATATATTGGTCACATTTTACAACCACTGATGAAATCATTACCTTCATATGTTAAAGATAATTTTTATTTCATTATAAAATTAAAACCCAGTAGCCTAGTGGTTAGAGCGTCCCCCTCAAAAGCGGGTGGTCGTGGGTACTATCCCCTGTTGAGTCATTCCAAATACTTACAAAAATGGTACTAACAGCTGCCTCGCTTGGGGCTCAGCATTAAGAGGTTAGTTTTAGGACTGGTCGGCCTGGTAGAACGATAATATGACTGGACAACAGTATAAACTGCCACACTGCAGACATCCGAACCATATGAACGAAAAATTGTTAAAGCTACGTTACAATCATAATCACTTCATAATCACACATCAAGCAAAAATATATAGAAGAATTATTTCGGATGAAACCGTTTTTAAATCGCTTTATTTACATCATTAATACTGCTTTCCAAAAAGTATCTTCTCTTACACAACTTAAATCAGTACAATGTAAAATCAAAAATATAAATGAAGATATCATTCCTTGTGTTACTGAATATAATCCAATTTTGCCTAATATAGGTAAGATTGTCGATAAATATTGGGATTTGTTAAAATATCGTGTAAAGCAAGTGTTAAATCGCTACACGAAAGCAAACCCACTCTTGCTTAAAAAGACCTAAACATCTTAAAGATTTCCTAATTAATTCTAAATTAGAAAAAAAAACATATAAATATCATCAACTAAATGTAATAGGCCAACACGTTCGCACTGATCTTTTATTAATGAAAATACTACTTTCAATAGTAATATCACGAAATAAACCTTTAGTATGCGTTGTGACACTAATTGTGCAACATCAAATGTCGTTTATTTGATCATATGCAGAAATGTAATATCCAATATATTGGACAAATCAGTCAACAAGTATCTAAATGTACGAACCAAGACATCAGATATAAAAAATTATATTGATCATTCATTTCTTCTCATGTTACTGCACATTTTAACAAGAGTTCCCATACTTTGCAAGATTTCTCCTTTCAAACTATTGTTGTAGTTGATTCTGAGATGGGACGTCTGTTAAAGGAATTGGATTCTTTGTCTTAATACGGTATATCCAAAAGTTCTAATTCCAAAATCTTGAACAACATTCATTATTATTTTTTTTAAAAAATTATGTACCCTGTTTATAATTAGTTAATAATATTTATATATTATTTGATATTATTTTAATTTACTTATTAATTTAATTAGTGTTAGTATTATTTATATGATACGAATATTTCTAATAATTCTTTAAAACTGACAAACTCTCTCAAATTAAAGCTTGAATAAATTATATTTCATTATTTATAAATACATTAGCACACCATAATGTTTTAATATTTGTTTACTATATAGTTTAAGTTTATATAGTTTTAGAATTGATAAACAATTATATATTCTTTACTAATTACTTTATTTGTTTAAAAATATTTATTTTTATTTGATTTTAGAAAATGTTATATATATATATATATATATATATATATATATATATATATATATATATATATATATATATATATATCCATAACTACGTAATTTAAAGAATGATATTTTTTGTTTTCGACCAAATAACACTCTATGCCAAAAAGTTACATTTACAGTACACATTAGTCATAAGGAAAGTGATGTCCCTAAGGAGTAACAGCGAACTTGTATCTGTACATGACTGCAATTGTAGAGAAAGAGTCAACGTTGACAAGTTATATGTATCAAGTCTTTGTTTGTTTTGACAGACAAGGTTCTGTCTTTTGTTCTCCTGTGACAGGTAATTAATCGCTTACGGAATATTTATGAATACGGGTCGACACTGACAGGCCAATCGGACAAAGTTTCGCAAAACTCTGGTACTAGTGGGGGCATATCTTTTCTTTCGCTGGATTTATTTTAATCACCAAGTGATATAGACTGTCTAGATAACGTTTTATTAATCGAAAGGGCTTTGCCCTTTTAAAATTTTCAATTTATAGTACTTTATTCTTAAATTGATTGGATTTGAGCCGAATCGTATTAATTAGCAAGCAAAGGAAAAAACCGGAATTTGAAAGATGAAGCAACTTCTAATTTTCCTACTTTATGGTAAGTAGTTCTAATATGTATAAAAGATTTTCTCAATGTTCGTTCCACTATTAATTTTTGTTATGGACATTGTCTACTTGCATGTTATTCGTATTTTTTATCTGAATGTAAGTAATTTATAATAATACTTCCAGGTTTGCGAAACTAAAGCGTTAATTGAGCTAGCTTTTTATATTATTTCAGCAAAACCGTGAAGTTTATTAGGATTTTTAGGTTACATGTTAGTTTTGGGAAAATAAGAAAATATAATTTTCATCTATGGTGAAGACTTATATAAATATACTACATTCTGATAACTTTTTCCTTAGTAACCAATATGTGAATAATTCACTCCGCATCTTCCCATATCACACTTATTTATGAAAATTTATCCAAATTATTTTGGTTTTGTTCTCCTGTAATGGTAACATTCATCACAATTAAGAGGTGTACTAAAAATCGAACTATGCTGCTTTTCCTAAGAAATCAAATGTAAGGTCTACGTTTTCTTCGATCACGGGTCTTTAGTTTTGGTTTATAAATTTTCAACACAACTAAAACAGAATATTTAAAAATTATTATTTGTATCAAACACACAAATACACTCGCGCGCGCGCACACATTCACATACACGTTAATGAAATGGAACAAAGACGATCTGTTTTTAAAAATCTCATTCGAAATGAACTAAGTGATAATATCAAAATTTATATTCTCACAAAATTTAATTCAATACATATTTTGTAAATCTATGTTGAGAATATAAAAATCACTTTCATGCAGAATGTTATTTTGTCAGAGATTTTATTTGCATATGAGAAAGTTTGATAAAAATTGATGACGCTTTTTGTTGTTGTTAAATACTAGCAAATTTTAAGTGTAATAGATATTTAGCTGCATTAAAATACCCATATTCATTAAAAAATTAAAATCTTACATTCGTCAGATCAATACTTTGCGACAACATCAACTGGAAACATAATGATACACCTGCAACAATCCACCAAAATCAAAATTAACTTTCACCAAGTTCATTGCTAGATCTTTGCGGGAATGCTAATTATCATTTGTAAAAATAGCTTACTGTTCGACATTTGTCGTGCAATATATGCTCTTGCACGCTGTTTCCACGACCGCTTACCGACAAATGAAATGGAGTTGTATGCTGACGCACCTGCAAAATCCCACCTAGATCCATGTTAGTGAGTGTGTGACTCTTTCTCTGTACACCGTCTGTTCCTTTTCTGATCAAGATCAGTTAAATGTCACAGTAGCTGAGAGAGGGGTTGGTGGGTGGACAAACATTTTGTTTTAATTTAACTTATAACATGCCAAAAGTTTAATTTTTAAAAAGTAAACTAGCAAATGGAACAAAGATTTCAACATGAAATTTGAGGATGTTATTGTTGTGCTTCTTTTAATAAGTGTGTTGCATATTAACTTTGCGGGATTTTATTTGTACATGGGCTTTGACTGATATTTTCTTCGTTGGTACATTTAAGCACATACCCTTTCCTGTCAATTTAAATGTTGCATATACTCGCCTTTAGGTTTACGTTTCATTTTTGCTGAAATTCAATTATAACGCCGAGTAGGGTTTCGTGTTAGAGGCGCCATATACTAACAATTTCATAAATCAAGGAGCATTATTGGTTTTAGCAAGTACAAAATAATTGCATGTTTTGACCTGTTTTCTGATAAATATACTTGGTGGTCCTCAATTTACTATTATATTACCCTCAATATCGTCAAGGTATCATTATCTTTGAAAATAATATTCGTAGCTTCATCTCACAAAAGAAATGAACACCACTTGTGTTTTACCCACAGATCTGGTTTAAGTTATATTATTCTATCTTGACATATCGCTGCATATAATTAAAATATATTTGTATTTTATTGATACTAAATTTGACTTTTGTTTTCCTTGCAGGCATACTTTTAAGTTCAGGTAAGCTATTTTTCTTTGTTCGAACAGAAAAAACCCCCAACTATAATCAGTCAGCTAAAATGACACACTATCAGACACTCACATAACATACATGAATTCTCACGCAGCTTCACACTGAACTATTAGGTTTTGACAATACAGAGATCTACATAACATCGGGAACGAGTCTGTATGAAACAAATAATTCCTCATTAGGGTTAACTTTGAAAACTTTGAAGCAGGTTTCATGGAGTTTTAGATATACATACTTGATGGAAAATTTGTTTCGTTTCTCTTCCGTTTCTAGTATATTATAGCAAGTGCCGTGTTCATGACTTAGTCCTGGACAGGAGGCTCATGGGTATACAATCCTTTCAGACATTTTGCTTGAATGGCTAAGACATGACTGATTTTTATGAAGGAACTGAACCATGTAATTTAAGTATTCGTTTTAACATTTGTGTCAAATTTGTGACTAGACATTCTGCTTTGTGGCTATGGACATATGCCAACAAAAACGAGGCTGTAGTTCCTATCAGTACACTTCAGCAAATGATTGATAATACTTGCGTAAACAGAATTAGAAATATGTATCACCAAATCGCATACACGCATGAAAATCACCAAATCGCATACACGCATGAAAAACTGAAAAACTATTTATTTCTCACCTTGCAGTAAAAATAAACATGCAAGCCTGTTAAAAAATCATACACTGTAAGCCATAATACAGTCTTTGCATCTAATTTTAAGTTAATACTTTCAGTGAATAACTTTCGAGTGACAAATCATATCTGTTCTGGAAATCTGACTTTAGGGAAATACTAGAATATCCCAAAACAAATTAATGGCCTTGTAAACATTTTGTATCGATCATTCGTAACAATAAATTGTATGTAGGGCACATGATAACATTTACACCATGCATGTCCGCTTTGTGTCTTTGAGTTAAAGTTTAAAAGGTACATTTTATCACACTGAGGTAGAATATTATTTAATGTAAACATCAGCATTAGGTACTGTACTTTTAGCATCATGTCATTTCTTCTTGCCATTTGAGTCTTAACTTTCTTGGCAGTAACCTTACACTCGTTTCGGCTTAAAACGTGTGTAATGTTTATGACAAAATGTCAGAACACTTTCAGGGCAGA